TATATTCAAAAACATTTGATTAATTGATCTAGGCAATATTGCGGCATCCAGCCAATGGCGCAATATTGTGCTCGCAAAGCGCAGAGAGGGAAGAAAACAAGAAATATGCATATAATGTGGTTATAATAATAATCATAATAATCATAATGATAATAATAATATTGATATTGTTATTGAAAGTATAAGTAATTGAAAACAAAAGCTTAAAATGTTTCTATCATTTACATTTAATGTTGCTTAATAATACAATAGATCATTCGCATTTAACGCTTAGCTCTAGCTAGCTGGCCGACGTGTCGTATACGCGATTCGCGTGCAGAAATCCCAAAGTCGCGATCCAAAATTGTTGTTTGCCATGTTGTTGTTGCAGTTGTTGTTGTTGTTTAAGTTTTTAATTGGGGCGCAGCATGCAAAGATCACTTATCTGATGGAATAAATATCGTTTAATTGTTTTTCGCTTAACTTCAGCTCAATTTGTTTATGCGTGTGGCTGTCTGTCTCTGTGTGAGTGTGTGTGTGTGTATGTGTGTGTGTGTGTATCTGTATCTGTGCCTCGTATACATGTTTTTCTCATTAATCGGTCAACGTTCACTTTGCAAGTTCATAAAAGTCGGCAACCGGCAACAGTTGCTGCTGCTGCTGCTGCTGCTGCTGCTCTGCCTCGGCCAATGCTTGCTGCAATTTGCGCCAGCTCTCGGCTGCATCGCTGGCATCGAACTGGCGTTGCATCTGACGCAGCTGCAGACGATGCTGTCGCAGCAGTTGCCTCCATTTTGCCTCGTTCACATCTCGATTGCGTTCTGCCGCGCTCGATTCGCTCGCTGAGGGCGTCAAAGCGGACGCAGCTTGGGGCAAGTTGTTGTTATTGTTGTTATTATTATTGTTATTATTGTTGTTGCTGTCATCGTCAATCGCATTCATATTGTTGTTGAAGAGCTGCTCAGCCAGGTTGTCGACCAGAGGTGTTGGCTATGGATGAATAGAGGGAAAGAAGAAGAAATTAGATATAGTCTTGCAACGAGCGATAGACAAGATAAAAGATATGTGGTTCCTTTCTTGTTCGTATGCCATCAGTTGCTTGTATTGGTTATTATTATATACTGAATAATATTGATAGCTAATTGCGCCGAGATTCTCTCTATATAAGGGGGAAGACAGAGGATCTCGTAGTTATATGTTACGATATTATTATTTAACCTAAGCCCACTTTCGAATGACTACAGGAATCTCTATATTGGAATAAAGTGAGTATTCCCTGGGAGTTTATGAAACATATTGACTTTCAGTCAACAGAAGCAAAAGTGAGGGATAAGCTCAAATAACTGATGTTGATTTAAATTGCTGAGCTGAAACTGAATGATCAAATGATTGTCTAAACAAGAAGAGGCAAAGTCTAAGATTTCATGTCTCCAGCTCTTATGGGTGCTGAGTTAGAGGTAAACAAACGAATGATATGAGCCGACGTGGCTCTATCGAAGGGCTTAAAAATATATATATATAAACAAATAGAATATTTATTGGTTCATTCATCTGTTCTTCTGTCAGCTAAATGCATTTGAACCAAATCCATTAAATCCCATTTAATTTGAATTGGGGCTATAAACAAGTTTTAATTGCCTTAAGCAGATATTTCAGAGTAATATTCAAATGAATAA